GAGGCTGAGGGTCCCGGTCTGCCCTTGGTCCCCCGCGTCGGCAGGAAGTGCGGGGTGGTACTCGCACTCCTGGGGACCTGGGGCCAGGGGAAGTCCCCGGGCAGCTTACCCCGGACCTGGGACACTGGCCCTCCCGTCAGATCCCCGCCATTCAGAACTGCGGAGTTCCTTGGGTACTCAGCGCGTCGTCGCGGAGATTGGTGGGCGATGAAGGCCTGCATTTGTCCTCGAAAGTGAAGCATTTGTCCCCCATTCCCACCTCAGATACCCCCAACTTCCCATCAGTCTCAGGCGCCAAACGCTGAAGACGTGAAATAACTAATGCTTGGCTTAATGGCTGAAGGAAGTCGACCTCATCTACGGCACTGCCTTTGCAGCATAAATAACCCGCACTGGACTGATTCCTTAAGCCACCAAATTAACGCTAATAAAAGTTTCCTTTATTCAACACAGCATACTGTGCGCTAGGCGCGATGCACGGCACCAGCTGGTGAAGGTTTTAACCTGGACACAGGTGGAAAAGGAATTTGAAGTGCCCATTAATGGACACAGGAAAATTCTAGACCTCTGGCCTGGCATGACACAAAATAATTAATAATAATAATAATTTTAAAAACTTAAAAAAAAAATTGCTCCCAGAAAGATTAGGGAAAGGAGAACAGAAAATTCATCCCACAAGCCTGATGTTTGCCCTTAGTGATGCTGCCTTCCTGGTGGTAAAGCGGGCAACTAGAATTTCACAGCCAACTGAAGTTTCCATCGAACAAGGGAGTGTTCTGAACAGAAATAGACACCGGTTGCTCAGGCGATCAGAAGTGGGGTTCTGTTATTCTCTCAACATTGCATTAAAATTTATTTCTGCCACAATCCATAGTTCTAAAGCACAAGGCTTAAAGAACACAACAATAGTTTCCCAGGAGTGTTTTGGTTTACTACCAACTGGGAAACGAATGTCTTGAAAACTAAAAGTTTTCAGCTGCTTGACAAAGCAGATACAATCTCTATCGAGAAATTGTTAGAGAAGACATCTCTAGAAGAATTACAAATATAAGCGTTAGAAAAAGAGGCTTGGCAGTTTCAGTATCCATTAAAATATAATTCGTTGGTCAAGACGGATGGCAAAGAACAGAAGCATTGATGATTTTAGCAAAACAGCATCACGTTGCCCCCAAATACAAGGAGAAATAACGCTCACAATATAAGGAGAAATAACACCTGGATGTGGGCCAGAACAGGGATTGCACAAAAGAGGCCAGATGAAGATGGAGAAAATATCATTATGTTTCACAGGTAAATGATTCAACTAGGAAACAAAATAATTTTGAGCTTTCATAGATAGCAAGCATGGACCCCATCCCTGACCATCACTGTGCCACCAAGCAAGGCAGAAGATGCCAGGTGTGTTGGCTGTGTTGTGCAGGTAGCCTCATACTGTCCCATTTTTAATTTTCAAAGGAAAGATAGCAAAAAAAAGGAATCGAACTGTCATATGTGATCATGTCGCTCCAAAGGACTGGACTGAAGAGTGAAGAGTGAGTTGTGGCTAGCCAAAATGTGGCCCAGGTACGGTGGGAGCTGTTAAGAAACCTGACTGCTTAGTTTGGAATTAGTTTTAAGTTTACAGTTTATATGGTTGAGGTTGTTAAGAAGTTTCCATTAGCTGTAATTCCAGATCTAAGTAGCCTTGCCCATTCTTTAAATATATATTTGCATATGTATTTGTATAGTGGTATAACTATGTTGGGAGTCCTTGGGTGGTGCAAATGGTTAACATGCTCTACAGCTAACTGAAAGTTTGGAAGTTCAAGTCCACTCAGAGGTGCCTCAGAATAAAGGCCTGGCAATCTACTTCCAAAAAATCAGCCCTTGAAAACCCTATGGAGCACAGTTCCACTCTGACGCACATGGGGTTGCCATGAGTCGGAATCAACTTGAGGGTAACTGGAAAATGACTATTTAGAGTGTGGAATGACAGGAGTTGGGGGTTGGTAAGAAAGCTAAATCTTCATTTTTTATAATGGGAAGTCAATTGTTGTTGCTGTTAGGTGTTGTTGAGTCGGTTCCAACTTATAGTGACCCTATAGGACAGAGTAGGACTGCCCCACAGGGTTTCCAAGGAGCAGCTGGTAGATTTGAACTGCTGACCTTTTGGTTAGCAGCCAAAGTCAACTGGTAAAGTTAAAAATAGATTAAAAATAGAGGTATAAACCAAGTATTTAGACATATGGCACTAACTCCTAGAGGAAGAGCTGAAAGTTGTAGGAAATAGTTGTTGTTCAGAATAAGCCTTTAGGTACTTTTGGGTATTTTTTTAAAACCACCAGTGTGTATTTTTATATATATTTTTTTGAATTAGGCATCTTACAGAAAGAAGAAAAAATAGGACAACATTGCAAAGATGAAGGCAGACAAGGAGAGTGGCCACTCATTCTCCAATGGGATAAATAATATGTTGCATGCCTGCTCAGGGCAGGGCTGGAGGCAAATACCAGGCATGCAAGTATGGCGGGATAATTTAGTGAAATATGTATTCTTTGTTTGTTCTGCCTCTGTTTTTCCTTCACCTTTAGAGCAGGCAAGGGTTTTGGCAAGGCTGAGAGCAGAGACATCTCGATGTCAAAGGCCCTTCTGCTTTTTGTAAAAGTCTAATGTAAACCTGAAGGCACCCTGGCAGCGCAGTGATTACAGTCCTTGGCTGCTAACTGAAAGGTCGGTGGTTCGAATTTACCAGTGGCTCCTCGGGAGAAAGATGTGGCAGTTTGCTTCCATAAAAGATTACAGCCTCGGAAACTCTATGGGGCAGTTCTGCTCTGTCCTATAGGGTTGCTATGAGTTGGAATTGACTCACAGGCAATGGGTTTGGTTTTGGTTTTTTTTGTAATGTAAACCTGGGACAAGGTTATGTCTGGAGGAGCTGGGGTGGTGTTTGGAGAAGCTTATCAGTGGTTGGAGAGAGAATTCTTCAAGACCAAGGAGGGGATTGGCCTGTGTGGACACTGGGCTCTAATCTCTGGCAGTGATGGAGTGACAAGACTCTGAGTAGATGGCTTTAGGGGATGTCTGGGGAGGCAGGGTCCAAGCTCGCATATTTGAATTCCCATGTCTCAAATGTGGCATAGGGCCGAGAGTCTGAAGGTCAGGACCCAACAGACATACCTGCTGGGACCACAGGAGCCACAGTATTCACTGGTGACAGGAATGTCCAATGATGGCATGGGGTGGGGTCAGGTAGGGAGCCTCTTCTGTGCTTTGATGTTTATATGACTTTTGCATAACCTTTGGCAGGTGGGATCCCCAGGAGTGACTGATGTTGAATTTTTCACCAGCACTTCAGCATAGAGGCTTGGAGTAGGAATTAAGTTGATTTAAAGAACATTTTAAAATGTAGTATCTCTTGCACATCTGAGTTTATAGGCTAAGAGCATACCTGCTGCAACAGGATACATAGGGAGGAGCCCCTGTCCTCAACAGCCACCGGAGAAGCAGATAAGCAAATACTTTCAAGATTTTATGATAAGTGGTAAGTGCTGAGGCATGCTCAGACTTCCGTGGAGGGAAAAGATGGAGTAGCTGCCTCTAGCTCCTTGGATCCCTTCCTTTCTTGACCCTCCCCCTAGATCTGTTCCCTTCTATCCCACTTTGCCAGGCCCCGTCTGATGGTCCTCCCTCTACCTGCCTGGGGTGGGGTGGGGGTTGGAGGATAGGAGTGTCTCTGATCTGGGAGGATGAGGGAGAGGAGAGCTGGGCTTGCGTCTTCTTGGAGAGAAGAATGCTTTATGTCTGAATCCCGGATTTCCAAAGACCTGCCCCAAGAGACTTATTCTTTGACCTTAAGAGGTTAAAACCTGATGAGGACCTGGATCCCAGCCAGGGGAGAAAGGAGGCAAAAAAGCGAAAGAAGAGGGCATTCCCAACTGGAAGAAAGCTGAGGATGTCAAGGAGCCCAGATAGGAATAGACAGTGATCCCTACAGTCCCATTAAACACAGAGGAGAGGCCAGGGACCGAGCTTCATTGAGAAGGAGTCCTCTTGGGTCTCTGGGATCAGAGGGGTCCTGAGGGGCTCCCAGGGCTGGCACTGTTCCTAAGGCGGGCTTCAGTAGAACCCCTGTGTGCCAGGGTTACAGGCTGGCCCAGGCCATAGGGCTCAAGGTAGGAGGGGAAGCATGACAGCCTCCCTTCTGGGGACCTTCCCAAAGAGATACCTGGAGTTTCCTACTCATAAGCCCCAAGGAAAGGGGAGGCAGTTTCTGGTGGGTGAGAGTCCTGGGGTGAGAGGGTGCCGATAGATTCGGGGGGAGGGAGCTCTTCAGTGCGGTTGGGGGTGGGTGTTCCAAGTCCACTGTTTCTCCCTCTTCATTGGCAGAAATTCCTCAGAGATCGGGGACAGCCCCAGGTCCAGAGGGGATGCTATCCCACCCTGCTTATCAGCCTCCCCTCTACTGCCCACAGGTCTGGGCATCTGGGGGGCAAGGAAGGCCTCAGGGCAGGTGACAACATAGCAGTCTGAGCCAGTCTGAGCTCTTGGCTGGGACCCGGGAGTGCGCGACCCTATCCTGCAGAGACTCTGGCTTACCCATGAACACAAACACACAGGAACAGGTATTTGGGTGGGAGGCTGAAGCAACTTTTTATTCAGTTAGGTATAAATCGTATTTACACGAAAGAGGTGGGGTGCGGTGGGGGAGCAGGGTCAGGTCCATGGTCCTGGGTGACCACTCTTGAGATAGTCCCACTGCCTCCTTCCACACTCACTGGGTGACCCCCCAACCCCTGCTGCCTCCCTGGTCCTGGCCTGGTCTGGGCAGCTCAGCCATGCGGGATAGGGCTGGGAACATAGGTGGGATGGTTGAAGCAGGAGAAGGGGTGTGGCAGGGCCAGCATGGGGTAGCTGCTTTGCAGCTGCTGAATCCTCTCTCTCTCCTAGCCCCCTTCTTGCCCCTTTGGTTGGGGCTCCGAGCCTTGGTGAGGCTGGTGGGGGCCTCCTCGGCTCCAGGCTGGTCACTGCACTGTGACCCTTTTGGGCTGTGTGGGCTGCTCAGTCCTGGGAGAACAGAAGAGGGGTGTGAGGGGCCGATGGATGCTCCCCCTCACTCCTTTTCTCCCAGCCCTCCAGACTCCTCACCTCTTGCAGGCTTTGGAGCCCTTTCCCTTCTTGCCAGGCTTAGACCCCCCCTTGTCCTTCCTACAGCCCTGAGGGCCTTTCCGTGGGGCTGGTGGCTTGTCCAGACGCTGCATCAGCTGCTGCACCCAGTCCTCCTTAGGGTCTGCACACAGCTCGTGCTGAGAGCGCTTCCGGGGTGTGAACCTGAGGGTTGGAGGTCAGTAAGCCTGTCCTAGTCTTGCCCACTCTGCCCACCCCACTCAGCTGCTGGTCTACACCCACTTCCTTGTGCCCACTCACAGGATGGCCGGGATAGGGCAGCCCAAGCTCGGCTCCTGCTTTTGGTAGCTTCGGACGACGTGGGTCGGAATGGGCCTCCGGCTGTACTTGAGGCAGCAGTCCTGTGCCCCTCCGTCACTACCTGCAAGGGTAGGGTTCACAGGGAGCCAGGGACTGCTTGTAGCCTCCTACCCCAAGCCTCTCCAGCCCCTCACCCCCATCCTAGGCACACCCTCCATTGGTACCTTGGGTCCCAGGGCTGCAGAGGGCCAGAAACAAGACAAGGAAGCTCAGAGCCAGCGAGCGAGCCATGGCCGCAGGAGAGGGTGAATATGAGGCCAGAGCTGTGGGCCAGATGGACTGCCGCAAGTTGGGGGCTGTGTGTGGGCTGGGACTGGCCCATTGCCTATTTATTTATCTGGCAGTGACCTCCCCCAGGAGGCCCTCCCCGCCATCCCCAGGCACGCTGTCCAGGCAAGAATGGGGATCTCCCTCCTTTTCCTTCCTGAAGGCGGGCCCTGGCCAAATGAAAACTTCAGCACAGCCCATCAGTCCCCAAGTCACCTGATTCTACCTCCTCAATATCAATTGAATTAACCAAGCCCTTCCTTTCTATTCTCAGCCACTTCCTTGGTTAGACCTTACCACCTCTTCCCTGGAACACTGTGATTGCCTCTTCACTATACTCTAGGCTCCATGCCCTCTCCCCACTCCTTCCAGCAGGCTGAAGACTCTTCTTAAAATATACGTTTGATTATATCTCTCTCCTGCTCCAAACCCTTTGATGTTCCCTGTGGCTCTCAGGAAGAAGCCCATGTTCCTTGGCCTGGCCTGCCCTTCTTTGTTTGTGTAGACCCATCTTCTACTACCAACCCTGCATGTTCCAGGCACCCTGAGTTTCCCCTCACAAACACACCTGCATAGGCCCTCCTCAAAGCATTTGCACATGGTAATACCTTTATGCAGAGTGTCTTTTTCCTTTTCTTTGCGGGTAGGGTCCCAGCAAAAGACGAATCCTTGAAGCCTTGTCTTTACAAGGCCTTCTTTGGGCTCCCACAACACCCTCAGATTATTCCATCCCAGCACACAGTAGACCTTTAATAATGCACTCAAATGGCTCAGCCACTGTTTATTTACTTGTCTGGCTTCACATTATTCCATGAAATTTTTTGCTGGCAGGTATTATGCCATGTTCATGTCTGCATCTGTAGGGCTTGGCACAAGTCAGCCTTGCTGTGATTGTTGCCAAGTTGATGATAACATTGAGAGAAGTTGAGGAAGCAGGAGTGTTGATCTCCTGTACAAGCCTCCTGTCTTTGGTTGTGGGAATGATCTTCAATTACTGTTAATATGAATGAAGGGGGTTCCTAAGAGACTTATCTGGCAGAGTTGCTTGGGATCAAGAGAAGGGGCTGGCCAGGGGTACTTGTCATAGGTTGTGAATAATGTCCCCCAGAGGACTGGGCTTAGAGGTTGGGTATGGGAAGGGGGAGACCTCTGACCCCTCTCTGTCCTGGTCCTGATTTGAAGGAGGCCTAGGAAGACTGTGAGGGCTGACTGGATGCTGAGCGACCAAGCCAGGGCTCTGGGGCAGTCATGTTCTGCAGCCTTCAGGAGGCTGAGTGGGGGCTCATTTATCTGCCCCTGCTGGGCTGTTTCAAGAACTCTTGGCACAAGCTCAGCCCGTGGGCTTGGTTCTCACAGTTGTGGCTCCCAGACCAGGGCCCTCAAGCATTCATTTATTCACACATTTCTTGAGCATGCACTCAATGCTACACATAATCCTAAGTACCAGGAATCTGGATGTGAACAATATAGCAAGGTCCTGGTCCTCACAGGAAACCCTGGTGGCATGGTGGTTGAGAGCTACAGCTGCTAACCAAAAGGTCGGCAGTTCGAATCCAACAGGCATTCCTTGGAAAGCCTGTGGGGCAGTTCTGCTCTGTCCTATATGGTCTCTATGAGTCAGTATCAACTAGATGGCAACAGAGTTTTGGTTTTGGTCCTCATAGAGCTTATTTTCTAGAAGAGAAAGACAGATAAACAAATGAATATGATAATTTCAGTGAGTGATAGGTGCCATGAAGAAAATAAAACAGGGTAATGTAATAAAATGAGGCTTGGTCAGGGAAGACCACTCAAGGAGGGGACATCTAGCAGATACCTAGGAGTAGAAGGGTCAGCCCTGCAGAGAGCTACAGGGAGAGGATTCTGGGGCCTGAGGGGGCTAGAAGTTCAAAATGGAAAGAACTTGGGTACCCTGGGTTCTCTGGCCTTTCCCAGATTTCAACAGCCAGGGGAAGTGAGGTGCTCCTCACTGCTGCCTGCAGTGCCCTTCGCAGACTGGACCCACGCATCCCCAGGACAGAGACTACATACCTGAAGGCCCAAGGGACAAACTTTTGGGAGGGGCCTGCGAGCCTCACCCTGGTCAGGAGGGATGGATGGTAGGGATTGCTCAGCCTAGAGAAACCAGGCCAGAGCAGAGCTTGGACCCAAGGAATCACGTGGGTAAGTTCTGGCTTCTAGCATTGAAGGGCCTCCTGATTGTCCAAGAGGCATGTGCTTCTTCATGTAAGACTCCTTTCACTCAGTAAAATGTTTTGTGTTTTGTTACTGTGCATATCAGTCATTTGTTCTGTTTTATTACTGAGTAGTATGCCGTTGTTAGAATATACCAAGGTCTGCTTAGACATTCTCCTATGGATGTACTGGGCTATTTCTAGTTTTTAGCTGTATGAATAAAGTGGCTATGAATATTCTTGCTTTGGTCTTTTTGTTAATATTTGTTTTCAATTCTCTTGGGTAAATAAATACCTAAGAATGGAATTACTGGGTCATAGGGCTTAGTTAGGTGTCCTGGTGGCATACTGGTAAAGTGCTCGGCTGCTAACAGAAAGGTTGGCGGTTCGAACCCACTAGCAGCCTCGAAGGACCAAAGACCTGGTGATCTGCTCCTGTAAAGATTACTACCTAGGAAACCCAATGGCCAGTTCTACTCTGTCCTGTAGGGTCGCTATGAGTCAGGATTGACTCAGTGGTACACAACAACAACAGGATTTAGTTTTACAAGAATCTGCCAGCTCTTTTTCTAAAGTGATTATTACATTCCCACCTCCAATGTATAAGAGTTCTAGGTGTAGTCATAGTTTGCATTTTTCTTTTTATGAATGAGGTTGAGCATCTTTTCATATGTTTAAAAATGTGGACTGTCTATTCATATCCTTCGCTTGTTTTTTCTATTTGGTGGTTGTTTTTTTCTCATCAATTTTAGGAGCTCTTTATTTACTAGGGTGATTGGCCTTTGATCTGTGATAATCTGTTGCAGCTATAGTACTGAACTTGTTATTTGTCTTTTGACTTTGCTCATGGTGTTTTTACATTTGCAGATGTGTTTAATTTTTAAGTGCTCAAATTAATAGTTAAAAAATGTTGGAAAGGCCTTTATAACTCTAAGGTTGGAAAGGCCTTTATAACTCTAAGGTTATAAAGAAATTCTCCCATGTTTTCTTCTGGAATTTCTATAGTTTCGTTTTTAACATTAAATCTTTTATCCATTTGGAATTTATCCTGGTTTGTGGTATGTGAGGATTATTGTATCATGACTTAGAATCTATTTTTAAAACCAAATAGGACTTTATAGTTGTGATTCCCAGCTGGAAAATCCATTTGGTTCCCCAAGGGTTAAGCCCAGCAGCAGGCCCCTCACTCCCAGGCTTGTCCCAGCTTTTGGAAGGACTGCTTATGAGGGGATAGGGAGACCATAGGGAGATAGGGACAAGGATTGGGAGGTATGCAGCCAGGACAGAGAAGGCCAGGGACAAAGTGGATACAGAAAGATTGGGCCTAGGACAGAGGCGGTGCTGTTGAGGGAGGATGGGATGCAGAAGGGTGAGGGTTGGAGATGGGGATATCATTGGGATGGAGGTAGAAGATGTTTTACCCCAAGGCCCACAGAGAAGAGGGGCTGGAATTTGGACTAGAGGAGAGATAACTGAGCCCTTGAGTCCGAGGTTTTCTAGCAGGCTGGGACCTCAAGCAGGGCAGAGAGTGCCCTTGCGGACAAGAGGCTGGCACTCCTGGGACAGGACTGGGCAAAAGCAGTGAGATAAGATTTCTTGGATCTTTTATCTGGTCTGATGGCAGATCCTGGCACCAGAAAGCTTTTAAATTCCAGCTCCCGCATCTCCCCTTCTCCACCCACCCCACCCTCTGTGGAAGTGAAGAACTTGTGAGTTGCCTGTGTTTGGACAATTCCCAGAGAGGTAGGATGGCATGGGCCTGAGGGGCAGGGGGAGGGGCCGTATGCATCACTCCAGAGTCATATTATATTAGACTGTTTCCGCAGTTTCCAAACTTGGCTGCTTTTCAGAAATACCTGGGGAGCTTATACAGAGTGAAAGGCACTATCCCAGATCATCTTAAACAGAATCTCAGAAGAGCCAAAAAAAAAAAAAAATGAATTTTTACCAAGTTCTCCAAGTAATTCTGAGCATTTGGTGAGGTAGGGCTGGTAGAACCACCTGGGCCTATTCTGCTCCCCAACTCAAACTCCAGATGGGCAAAGTACCAGTGGAAGGGAACAAAGGTGGTCTGGAGAAGAGGAAGATGGGGTAATGTCCCCTTAGCCCCCCTCAGTGGGGGGACTTACTGGCTGGCACAGCTAGTGGGAAAAGCAGGGAGATGGCAGGGAAGGGGGTGCTGTGCTTCTTCCTCTCCTAAAATCTCAGGCTGATTCTCTATCCTGAGACAACTTGCCTGCCCCCTGCCCTTGTTTATGCCTGTTTTGGGGGACCTCTAATTTTTATCACATGATGGCCACAGCCTCCTCAGGTCCCATCCTCATCTACCTTTCTTAGATTCAGGAAGCTTTTCCTAGTATCTACTTAAACCTTTACCTCTGAACTTGAGCCTGCAGTGGTGGCCCACCCTCAGGGAGCTTCCAACCTGGAGGTATTGGGGCCTCCCTGCTTGCCCCTGGGGCTCAAAACCTAATTTAGGGGCCCCGAGGAAATGGACCTAAGGATCCCTGGTGACACAGTGGTTAAAGCACTCAGATGCTAACTGAAAGGCAGGTGGTTCTGCTTCTGTAAAGATTACAGCCTTGGAAACTCAATGGGGCAGTTATACTCTGTCCTTTAGGGTTACTATGAGTCAGAATCGACTTGTCGGCAATGGGAGGAAATGGAGGCAGAGTGGGGCTTTGATGGAGGTGGATACCTGGCTGGACAAAAAGCCAGGGAGGAAACAGCTGTCCTGAGGGCAGAAAGGTGGCACTACCACCACCCTGGCTGCAGGTGGCTGAGCCTCTG